AGCAGTATGTTACACTTTAAGCTGTTATGTGAAATGGGACATTCCGAAAGTAACATCACATAACGTTTCAGTGGAAGATCCTTTATTCATTCATATATTATAAAAAGTTATGGAATGCGCTGCTGCTAATTTAGAAGCGGCGTCGTGGTACTACATCCACGGGAGCGCCAAAAACTTACGCCATTCACTCTTTGCTCTGTGTGCGAAGTCGTCAAAGTGTCGAGGTCTTAAGCGGGAACAGATCCCTCGGACAATGGACGATCGCCCGCAATCATTTTTTAGTAGTATATTATTAAGGCATAAACCATAAAATTTACCCTGTACAAGCTAAAATGTAAGCATTGGCTGGATCACGTCTGCAACGAAATTTTCTAATCATCAAAAAAGTTCTATTATGTTCTTTTTCCTGTGCAAAAATAATGCAGTAAGCAGCAAATTTATTCTACTTACTTCGGTAATGTGGTCACAACATTTTTTTGGAACAATGAACCAGATTGAATCATGCATTAAAATTTTTGATTTATGGATGTGATCCAACAAGATAATTTATTGACCATCTGTAAGCTGTCATCAGAATTGTCTCGTAAGGCTGCGAAGAAAAACAGGCGTAATGATTCATTTACGGGGAGCTCAAGCCTTTTTTTAATTTCAAATGGAGAGAAATGATCAGAGAAAGCTGATATTTGTCGCATTTCTCTTTTTGATCATAAAGGATTTGGGCTTGAGAAACTGTTTTACTTGAAATCTGAGATTATCTGCGCAGCAATATACGACATCTATCAGCAAAGCGACTATTTCAACGATATATCCAACACTCGATTTTAAGCTTAAAATAACAATTTTCGATATCATACTGCTTCATATTAAATAAATTTTATGCTTCGGATTTCAGTTGTAAGTCAAAAATTGAGATGATTGCTTACCTTGGTATCGTTAAAATTAGAGGTGACCAACAACAGGAGCTAAGAAAACAGCTGCATAAGCACGTCAATATTACCTATGTTGCCATTTATCAGTGAATAGGTTGTGTGTGGTATAGAGCTGTCTTTGATATCAAGCCCCGCAATAGAATTTTAAATATCGGTGTGAACGCAGAAATAGCGATGATCGATCTGGGGTCTGTCCTTCAGTAGTAGCACACGCTGTAGCCTCAAACTAGAATGCGTCGTGTATTTAATTTGGTCAGGACAGCAAGCGTTCATGTAATTTCTTACGTAGAATGGTAATCCTTTTTTTGAACAGATAAAGTCGGAGTTTAAGTTTCTACCCTCTTGCTGACAGACAGTACAGCATCATCCGATCTGGATGCCTTGCTCTACAAGGCTGGCCTCCAGAACTGCCTCACTTCCAATTTTTAATTCACGAGGTCCGCCATCAACCACTTTCATTACTACTTGCTTCCACGACCACTGCCACATTAACGACTGTTGTCTGCAATGCGTTTGGCTTTTATCATCCTCTTCGCTTTGATAGCACTATCTGAAGGCGTCAAATCTGATCCAAAAGCCCTCAATCCGCCCAAATCTTCAAATTTGCATTCGACCCAATCGTCTCCATCCAAAATATCGAAAAATCAAGGCAAGCTTAAAAGGGTTTTTGGTAAGGTGGTGAGTAATATTCAGCAAAAAAAAAATGTCGCGAACGTCATCAAGGAAATGGGTAAGCTTCATGTCAAGCCCAACAAGTAAGCTCTAAACATAGCTCATTCATGTAAATGGTAAGAACAAATGGGAAAGGGCTTGTAGGTAAGACATATCAAAGAAATAAGCTTGTCAAGTCGAGTTTAATACACATCAGAATTCTTTTCACATCGAGTTCAAACAAAAAAATGCTGTCAACTCTAGCATTCAAATGTTAAAACTTGAACACAGCACTTCCGACTGTGAATTCCCTAAACGACTTCATACGATTTTCTAATATCATCTAATTGATTTATTATTCCCTTGTCCGCTTACATTCAAAGTGAGATCCACTTTAAAATCAGGTCTTGTACAGCCACACCTGGCGAAGCCCCATGAGTGAAGTTTGGCAGAATCGCAAACAGGTCATTACCTGTAGTTATAATCAAGTAACCGATTAAGAGACGTCAAATGGATTGCGCGGAGCGACAGCAGCCTGCTTATTTGATGATTTTTTTAGAATAATAAATCTCAAAAATACAAATAAAATGATGGTAGCACTTATTATTTCCTTATTAAACTTTAGTTGGCTGACCAGCACTAACCTTTCGTCTGTCGTCGAAGCTGAACTGCCTTGATTCTATCCATGAAAGACTCCCCGTACTTCCGGTATGAGAACCGCGAGGCGAAGCTGCAAATTACAATATTTCATGCTGAGAATCTTGGTTGCGAAGTCAAATAAGAATGTAAACATGCACATAATGCAATGCAACTCCAATTCTGTCATTTGTTACTCGTCCTGCGCTTGCGGTTAACCGCAGTCAATCACTATTGTTCCAATGCTTGGCATTAAAATTTTGTTTTACCCCGAGACAGTACCTTTGACATTGGCCGGATTTTAAAAAGCTTCCAAAACATCAGCCTAGTCCACTTAGCTAGAATCTCTTACGTAAAGTGTATGTGCCGACGAGACATTTCGTCAAATCTAACATCAGCGATCTATATTTGCAATGTGTTGTTATGTGTTGAGAAGATGGCAAGAACCGAAGTGAATACATTTAGGTCCTTAGTTTGATAACTCTGTGCTACATCTAAGCCTGTCTTTCTAGATACTTTTTAGAGGCTTTTGAATGTAATGTTATTTATCTAGACCAATGAACGACTATCATTATGTCCGTAATCAGCATCCGTAATCATAATAGTAATTGTAAACATGACCGTAATCCTTGTGACGTCGTTCACATGCATTCAGCGGTGTAAACTTAACACTCCCCTTCATCGCTTTTGTTGAGTGAGCTTTGTTGGTGACTTGGTCTTGATACCTGTTGCTTCTCGCAGAAACTTGAGCATCTTGGTTCTAAGCGCCTTGGTGAGCATATCTGCAAGCTGACGCTTTATTTCGTGTAGCCAATCTGGAGTAATCCATGCTAAACGTTCTCTCGAATAAAGTGATGTTTAATATCCACGTGCTTTGTATGACCGTGGTAGCCCGCATTGCTTACCAAAGCTATCACACCTTGATTGTCTTCCCATATTTACGTGCCTACCTTTCGTTCTTGAATAATGCCCTTGAGCATTGCGCGCATCTTAGGTACTTCTTGTGTGCACAAGCTTAGCGCCATAAATTCTGCTTCTGCGGAACTTAATGCGACGGTTCTCTAATACTTGGACTTGAAAACAACCGGAGCGTTTTCAATATTGATCAACACACCTGGAACAGACCTTCTGTCATCGGTGTTGTTACCCCAGTCTGCATCCGAAAAAGCTTCAACTATCACCTTTCCAGTATTTCCTTGGTAAATAGTCCCATGATGACGTGTCGAATTTAAGTAGCGTAGTATACGAATTGCGGCGTTTCAATATGGTACCCCGGGATTCTCGAGATATCGAGACAGTTGGATAACAATATATGCGACGTCCGGCCGAGTGCAAGTTGTAATGCAAAGCAGATATCCAATCGGTGAGCGGTATGGTCTTGACCGCATCTCTGAACGCTCAGCTTTAAAGGTGGTTACTGTGACGTTGACAGTTTAAGACAGGACGTACACAGATTGTCGACGTCCTTGGCGTTTGTCTGTTCAAATCGCTCAGCCACGTCGCTAATATACCGTGTCTGCTTGATCATTAGTGTGGAAGCTGACCTGACGTGGTCGATCTCCATGCCCAAGATGACCTTCACCATACCAAGATCCTACATATTGAATACACTTATTAGAATCTCTTTGACCTCTAGAGTCTCGCTGCTCGTCTTGGCTGCAATGATCATATCAGATATACCAATACAAAACCTTCTTTTCCTTTTTCTACGTAGACGTATTGATCCGCTCCACGTTCGGCAAACTTGCCCGCCGACAATAAACGTCTGTCAAGTCCAGGGATAAGCAGCTTTTCCATCACCGATATGCGTATTCCTTCGACGCCGATAAGCTTCAATGTTCCAGCTCCTTCGTCGAAAAAATTCCTGCCGTCTGCAATCGTTACCTTGACGTTGGCTTCAAGTCGCGTCAAGTCGATCAAGCCATTTTGGTGAGGAGTCATGTGTGACGTCGCACCACTGTTAATCAGCCAACTTGCTGATTGCTCCTCCCCACAGCAAATACTGCATCATTACCGCTGTAACGGCTTCTGGACCCGTCTCATATGACCAGTCTGGTCACAACTAAAGCACTTGCCCTGAAAACCGCCGTCCTTGCGTAGTGCGTAATTCTTGCGACCACTTCCTCGTCTGCCCTTGATCCGTCCGTCATTGCCTGAGCGGGAAACGCTTTCTCACTTGCTTCCTTCTTTTGTAGCCTGTCTGACCCCTTCAGCAGCTTCACCTTAACTTCGATCGGAGTGATGTCCTTGGCGTTCTCCACAATAGAAGAAATCATCTCATATTCCGCTGGCAAGCTGCTCAAAAGCATCATCAGCTGCCTTAATTCATCCACCGACTCTTCCATCGTATAGAGACCCATTACCAGCATGTTAAACGCGCTCAGATATTCTACGCCCAGATTTTCAACCAGGCGAGTGCCACTCTCCATCTTATACTCATGAAGGCGACGTGTCATCGTGACACGGTTGTACATAGTGGGGCATTTCTAGATATCACGAAGCGTTCCCCATCGTCCAAGGGACGAGTAGCAGACCGAATCTTGGTCTGGTGCTGAATCTCGACACCCTGGACAATTATACA